AGGAACTCTTCGCCACCGTCAGCTTGAATCTCCTCAGCCTGTTCGGTCTGGTGAAGTTCTGCGTTTGCGAGGACTGAGTCGATATCGAGTTGTTCAAGCTTCTCCTGGTTACCAGTCTGCTCGAACATCCTCTGGCCACGACGTTTGAGAATACGTGAAATATCCTCTGTTGAGTTTGGCTCGCTGACCGAGATTCCACTACGAGCCATCTTGTTTTGAATCTCTGACGCCTCCTTGTCAGTAACACCACGTTGGATTGTGATGAACTCGAGTAGAAGCTTGTTTCGAGCTCTCTCAATCACTTCCTCCTCCACGGTATCCTTTGACACCAGGCGATACACACTAACCGGCCTCGTCTGTCCAATACGGTGCGCTCTGGCCATGGCTTGAAGATCAGCCTGGGGGTTCCAGTCAGAATCAAACAAGACCACAGTATCTGCCGTCATAAGGTTGATTCCAAGACCACCGGCTCTGGTAGACAAAATGAACGCAAAGTCATTGCTTCCAGGGGCATTGTAGTGTTCAATTGCCAAACGACGTGCAGCCGCAGGGATAGTACCATCCAGTCGTTGATATGTATATCCGCGGAATTCCATATAATCACCGAGGATGTCAAGCATCTTAACCATCTGACTGAAGATCAACACACGGTGACCGTCACGTTTCAGCTTGGCAAGAAGCTGATCCAAAAGCATCATTTTACCACTGCTGGTGATCATTGCCCTCAGAACATCCTCCCGGCGGGTACTACCTTCCAGAATCCTGGCTTCGGCATTGGGGAACATGAATGGATGGTTACTTGCTTTCTTCAGCTCCATCATGATGTTCAGAAGTGATTGTTTCTGACCTCTGGCTCCGTCATTGAGCGCAGCGTAATTCTTGGTGAGAATATTCTTGTAGTACTCCAGTTGGACGTCGGAGAGCTCGACGCGAATGATCCTTTCGGTCTTGGGGGGAAGGTCAGACTCCACTTTCGACTTCGTTCGACGTAGCATGAAGGGTTGAATAGCTTTCGTCAGCTCCGCAAGCTTATGAGAGGCAGCTTCTGCGTTCAAGTCCATGTCGGCATCAATGTGAACCAGGCCCGGATTTAAGAAGTCTAGAAGGGCAGAGAGTTCTGCAAGGTTGTTTTGAATAGGAGTTCCGGTGATGAGAAGTCGAGCCGGAGACCTGAACTCGAGTAACTTCAAATATAGCTGAGATTCGCGATTCTTCAACCGATGTGCCTCATCAACGGCCATAAACTGCCATTTGAACTGGCTCAGGAAGGTCGAGTCCAGCAGGACATACTCATATGTTGTGAGGAGTACATTGAACTTAGGGCGTCGGGGGTTCCCGTCTACCATAAGCTCATGTTCACGCAGAACTGTGCGTGCAGCCTCATTGCCATTGTAGACAACATAGTTGAGGTCAGGGGTCCAGTGGTCGAAGGTCTCAGCCCAGGATGGCATCGTCGACAGTGGGACGACGACCACGAAAGGCCCTTGCTGGCGGCGCACGTGGCGTAACCAGTTGATGAATGCAACGGTCTGGACAGTCTTACCAAGACCCATCTCGTCGGCCAGCACAACGTTGCGGTTCTTCACCCAATTGAAAGCCATGAAGTTGACACCTTTCACCTGGAACTCCTTCAGCTGGCCATTCTGTAGGAAGCTAGGTGTGCTCTTGATTGTTTCGAATGACTTGCGCGTGGCTGGGTTGGTTTCGGACTTGTCTGACACCGGGGGGCGAGAGGAGCGATCTAGAAAACGGTCTATCTCGCGCTGAGCGATATTACTAACGAGATCTTCACTCTCCCATGTACAAGAGTCGTAAAACAGGCGCTTCCACTTGACGAAGTACTCCGTCCCTTCGTCGCCTTCGCGCATTCCGATGACTCGCTCAACTTGTTTGTAATCCTCAATTGCGTCTACATCCCTCTCACGATCGAGGTTCCATTTCTCCCGATCCTCGGGGGCAACATCTGCATCATTCTTGAGGCGAACGTCTTCGGACAGTGTTTTGCGTATGTAATTGTCAAGGCGGCGGGTACTACGACAGTTGGCAAGACTCTCGGCCGTTTCCCATGTGGCATGGTAATGGGATTTGCCTTGCCATTTGATGTAGAACTCAAAGTCGTGGCGACCGACGTCGAGGCTACTTGGGTCCACACCATCCTTGAGGCGATGATTGAGCACAATATCGACAGCTGGGCGATCATCCTCCACGGTATTCACCCAATAATTCTGCGTCATTTCCTCTGGGTCATCTTCGAACATGGAATCATCATCATCTTCGTTGTAATTGGAGACCCGAGAAGCATTCCTCGTTGAGAAACGAACCTCAGGGTGCGAAGGTGCTTCGTTTGATGACGCTTGAAGGAGCCGCCGTCGCCTCGCCTTACTTGTACGAGCACGGGGACCCCCGTACTCATCGCTGTCCGAGTCTTCGGAGAACGACGACTGTGTTGCGGAGCGGGAGGGACGTTTCGAGGTGGGTTGTGAGGCCGCAGCGCGTCGACGCTTAGCACGGGGTGCTACAGCATCAGAGTCGTCCGAGTCCGAGTCTGATTCGACTATTTGACGCGTCGTGCGGGCTCTTGCGCTTCGGCGAAGGCCGTATAGATCGGGGTTCTGTCGGATATAGTCTGATTCATTGACCGACGATGATTTCCGTTTCGTGCCACGCCTGGTTTCTGATGATGAAGAGTTTTCAGAGCCGGATGCACTGCTCTGGTCCTCGTCATTTTGAATTCCAAAAGCATCCTCATCTCCCTCTGCGTCCGGGGAGCCGGCGTTATAGGACTCGTCTGCGGCGTCTTCCTCGGGGGAGGATGATGAATCGCGTGCGGCATGGTTTGCATAGGAGTCGGATAGGTGGTCTTCACTCTCGCTGACTGCAAGATCATCTCTGCTGCTTGCAGCATCGGAGGCAGGTGATGCGGAGTACCCATTCATCAGGGCCATTGTGGCCGATGGTTCGGAGGTAGATGGGATCACCATGCTAGTAGCTATTGATGATGAGAGGCATCAGCATTGAAGCCCGGTACGAGGCCGGAGAGGGATGGAAGACACGGCATAGTGTAAAACAGATTTACGCGACTCAGATTCCACTAGAATCGAACAGAATAGGTAGGTGAACGAGGTAGGAGATGGAGGTATGATGGATGGGCATGTTTTTGATGGCGGGCTGGATGAAACGCGACGGAGAGTGATAGGGAAGAGATGGGGGATAATAGGGGCGAATCCGAATGCAAAAACAGGTACAAGAGAGGAAATCCAGCCAGACCTTGACCAGGAGGAACCCGAGAACCCCTCAATACACCGGATGTAGGGGATATCTGGAGTTCTTCGGTGGGTCGAGACCGTGGAGAAGTACCCCGGCCGACAGTGGCAGGACACGTCTAGGAAAAAGCTAGGAAAGACAAATAAAATACTTACATTCCATAGCTTGGTGACCCCTAATCAGGGAAAAACGAAGAAGTAAATGGTGACAAAGTTGAAGGGAAAAGGTGGGGGGGAGGGGAGGATGGAATGGTGGAGGCAGCAAAGGAACGATGGGAGGCCGCTGAGAATATGATGAGGGAGTAGGAAGAGTGTTGTACGTTCGGCTGGAGGTGGACGAGTCGCCGTGAAGGGATTGGCTGCCCGCCTGATCCCTCAGGCTGCCATTGCCCGCCATGCTCTGTATGGTTTAGCGCGCCTCAAGCGAGCCTTCAAGCGGACTAGCGCGCTTTGTTTGTCACGTGCGTCTCGGGAAAGGAGCTACTTTTCTTCCGAGCAGAATCAGTCAATGTGAACAGTCAGCCAATCAGCACCGCCAGAAATAATGCAGCCCGGAAACAGTTGTGGCCTGAGGCAGCCACGGTTGCCCACAATGCCCGGCATAGTTTTCTCTCCAAAGAGCCCCTCCTCATCGGGGTTCTCCAGCAACGTTTCTACCTCGCTCTCTCCTTGGTGCTGCCTGTGCAGAGATCTGGCGCATTCGCATTTTGCCAGTCCAACCGCCGCCGTGTGATCGGCTTCATCCAGCACAGTTCACCCTTTAAGCGATCTTACTGCTTCTTTTTACAGCTGCTCCCCCACTACATCGGTTTCGCGCATTCGACTTGATCTGAACATTAGCCATCATGTCTGACAAGCTTACCCGGTATGCCTCCTTATATCCACCTTATTGGTTTCTTTTGGTCACACCAGCTAACAGATCTGGGTTTTCAGTGTTGCTATTGTCAACAGTGACAAAGTGAGTTTCCTATACCCCGCGGCATACGCTGCCAACAACCATGTGTCGACGCTCCAACGTATACTGAGACATCTCGCTTGGCTGGTAATAGTGCAAACCCAAGGTACGCGAATCTTCCGATTTTCCTGCTTTCTTCGCGCCCCCGGACCTATCTTCTAACGCTCATCCTTTCTCTTCTTCTAGAAATGTCGCCAGGAATGTAAGAAGTCTTGCCCCGTCGTCCGTACGGGTAAGCTGTGTATCGAGGTCACTCCCGAGTCCAAGATTGCCTTCATCTCCGAGCGCCTCTGTATCGGTTGCGGTATCTGTCCCAAGAAATGCCCCTTCGGTGCCATTCACATCATCAACCTGCCGACCAACTTGGAGACTCAAGTTACCCACCGTTACTCCGCCAACAGCTTTAAGCTTCACCGTCTTCCCATGCCCCGTCCCGGACAGGTGCTTGGTCTCGTCGGTACCAACGGTATTGGAAAGAGTACGGCGTTGAAGATTCTCAGTGGAAAGCTGAAGCCCAACCTTGGACGTTTTGACAACCCTCCCGACTGGGAAGAAATTCTCAAGTACTTCCGTGGTTCCGAACTGCAGAGTACGTATATATAGTATCGTGGGGTCGATTTATACAGACTTCTAACTGTATGCAGACTACTTCACCAAGGTTCTGGAGGACGATCTCAAGGCTGTTGTGAAGCCTCAATATGTCGATCAGATTCCCAGGGCTGTCAAGGGCCCCGTTCAGAACGTTGGAGACCTCATCAAGGCCCGCGCTCAGTTGGGCAACCTGGAACACATTCTCGACACTCTTGGTATGGCACAGTTGCAATCTGAGCTTTGTGATAACACTGCTAATGATTTATGCAGAGTTGAGACAGGTCCAGGACCGTGATATTGGTCACCTTTCTGGTGGAGAGCTCCAGCGTTTCGCCATTGGTCTGGTTTGCGTCCAGAAGGCTGACGTGTAAGAGCAATATCTCGAACCGTTTTTCGATGCGCACAAGCTGACAAATTTTACAGCTACATGTTTGACGAGCCTTCCTCCTATCTTGATGTTAAGCAGCGTCTCGCCGCCGCTCGCTCCATCAGAGAGCTTCTGCGCCCTGACGATTATGTCATTGTTGTCGAGCACGATTTGTCTGTTCTTGATTACCTGTCTGATTTCGTCTGTGTGCTTTACGGAAGACCCGCCCTTTACGGTGTGGTTACTCTGCCTGCTTCCGTCCGTGAAGGTATCAACATCTTCCTGGATGGTCACATCCCCACCGAGAACTTGCGATTCCGCGACGAGTCTCTTACTTTCCGTCTTGCTGAGTCTGGTGATGACTTCATGGTGGACCGGGCTCGTGCTTTCTCCTACCCCAGCATGGAGAAGACTCTCGGTAACTTCCACCTTAAGATCGATGCTGGAAGTTTCACCGACTCTGAGATTATTGTCATGATGGGTGAGAACGGAACCGGAAAGACCACTTTCTGTAAGATGCTTGCTGGTGCTGAGAAGCCTGACGGTGGCAAGAGCGTTCCTCGCCTGAACATCTCCATGAAGCCTCAGAAGATCACCCCCAAGTTCCAGGGTACCGTCCGTCAGCTCTTCTTCAAGCGTATCAAGGCTGCGTTCCTGTCGCCCCAGTTCCAGACTGATGTCTACAAGCCCCTCAAGCTTGATGACTTCATTGACCAGGAAGTCCAGAACCTGTCTGGTGGTGAATTGCAGCGTGTTGCCATTGTCCTGGCTCTGGGAATTCCCGCCGATATCTACCTCATTGACGAGCCCAGTGCTTACCTGGACTCCGAGCAGCGTATCGTGGCCTCCAGGGTCATCAAGCGTTTCATCATGCACACCAAGAAGACTGCATTCATCGTCGAGCACGATTTCATCATGGCCACTTATCTCGCCGATCGTGTCATCGTCTTCGACGGTCAGCCCTCCATCGATGCTCACGCCAACGCCCCTGAGTCCCTGGTCACTGGTTGCAACACTTTCTTGAAGAACCTGGATGTCACCTTCCGTCGTGACCCCAACAGTTACCGCCCTCGTATCAACAAGTACCAGTCCCAGATGGACCAGGAGCAGAAGTTGGCCGGCAACTACGTAAGTCTACAATCTTCTCACCTCAGCACTGGCATAGTTCAGCCGTGGTGGTATCTTCTTTTTCTCATGAGAAACATAATACTGACTTGCATTCTTCACAGTTCTTCTTGGAAGAAGAGAAATGAAGAGGTTGTTCCGGGCAAGTATGACCGCGTGCCTCACCGACGTGACGGCCGCGACTCGGACCAGCGGCGTCGCTATCGTCGCTGGGGCTACCTTCGGGTAGTGGCGTTTTTCGGCGTTACAAAGGCCTCTGCAGCTCAGAGAAGGCGGCGCCGCTGCCGTGGCGTGCGTCTTCCTGATGATGTGGATGGTGCTTTGGAGGAGGATGACGAAGAGGGAGCGGACGACTTGTTCGGCTAGGTAGGAGCAGTGGTTTAACCTGTTCCAGTTAATCCTCTCTGGCCCCCCCTTGTCGTCGCTCATGGTCGTCCCTCCCCAGCGCCATCCACGCCTGCATAGTTCAATCTAGTCCTCTTCACGATGGTTCAGAGTGAAGACACAACGAGACTAGTCTATTAGATTATGTTTGGGTATACGGATTTCCTGGATGGCGCAGTCATGTCGGAGTTACAATTTTTGTCAAAAGAGTTCCAAGGTTATTCGCGACATGGATGGTCCGCCGACAAAAAAGGGTGTCGGTGAGGGAAAAAAAGATTAGCTGGTTATGGTCAAGCTAGGTGGCCACTGTCCAAAAGATTTCTTTTTTTTTTTGAACATATTTCATTACGCTAGTCATTCACTTCGTATATATCACTTGCTTTTCTCTGTCCCTAAGCATGGTAAAATCTATTCAGGACAGTATAGTGAACTCTACATAAGCACCTTGTGTACGCCTACGGAGCAGATCCCCTCCGAAAATGTCCGTCTCCACCGGATGTCATACTCCTCCCGCCCGATGATAGCGGTAGGTATCATCGCCCAGTAAGGAATCGACCTCCCGCATTTTGTTCGCTGGATCACATGAACAAATATCAGGAATTACTCTTAAATAATACAAACGAGGCATTTCTTCCCAAACATCACTGTATATGACGTGCTGTGATGTGTATCAGTGGGTTCAATTGTGGTTGTCCTAGTAGTAGTAGTAATAATAGTATGACATGATGGTGATAGACAACTATATATAGTATTCTGAGTGCTCCAAGCACTAGTTCAACTTAACGTTGAACCGTAGAACTGGACGCCACGACAGTTACTTCGGCTGTGTTTAATTACTATTAATACTAGATATAGCATAGGAAAATATCATTATAGGTATTGTATTTGTATTTTCACATGTCAAGAAATGCATATATCAATCGTGTGGGCGCTAGACATACAAAGTCGATATACGGGGGCAGCAAAGATGAGACGCATCCACCAGAACCCGACACTACAAGTGTAGAGTCAGTCAGCGTCCATTGGCAATTACCTATGGAACGGGTAGTAGTGTGTGTGCGCATCTACTTAATCTTCCTCAATCTCCCCTTCTTCACTACCGGAGTGGACGGCCTTTTCCTCTTTCTTTCCATCATCGGTTGCCGCTGGAGTCCGCTCGCGACGGTCCCGGTCTCGCCTGGCACCGCGGCTGCGTTCGCGCTCCCGACTATCACGTCGGTAGCGCTTCGCAGAGCGACTGGCAACACTTTCCGTGTCGCTGTCGCGTCTGCGCCTACGATCATTGCTTGTGGTGCTTCGGGTATCGGCACCATAATCCAGCTCATCCCGACCTCCCCGGGGATCACCGCGTGTGCGATAGAGGCGTTCGCGCTCTTCCTCACGCTCGCGGCGCTCGCGTTCGTAGTGGCTAAGAGGGCGTGCGCTGCGATCCCTGTCCCAGTCGCGATCGCGGTCCCTATCCCGCTCACGCTCACGGTAACGTTCCCTGTCTCGATCGCGCTCTTCCCGTCTCTCTCGGACGGGCGATAGGCCGCTGGCCTTGCGGTAGGAGCGTTCACGATCTGCTTGGGCTTTACGGCGATCTGCCTCGTAGGCATCTGGTTCTGGGGTCCGGCTTAGACGGCTAGACGTTCCCCTTCTTTCGCCTCTATAGGATGGCCCGCTGCGATGATCACGATCACGGTCGTGATGATCACGGCGACTTCCGCGATCCCTGTCGCGGGCCTCGCGGTCTCGTTCCGCATCCTCCTCCTTCTCCTTCAGGCGGCGGATGACCTTGTCAAAGGCGGCCTGTCGGAGCTCATCGGTCTCCAGAGACTTGTATTCATCGAATCTTTCGATCCGTGGCTGCACCTGTTCCCAAGTATCAGTTGCACGGACAGGGGGATCGAGACGCTTGATCCGGGAACGCAATGAATCTATAGCACGGCGTTGATGACGGTCCGCAGCGTGCTTCTCTTCCTCGCTTCGTCGGACAGCCTTCTCCTGGATACGCTGGAAAATCAGTTGAAGTATCTCCGGATCAATGTTGGCTGTCCGGCGATCCCCAGATACAGCAGCGTTGAACTCCTCCAGAGTGGTCTTTGGTGTAACCTCGAAGCGTTTGTCCTGAGTACAGGTTAGTGACAGAAAACAGAAAACCGGGTTTAGTCACACTCACGTCAAGTACATCCAAGACATCATTACGTGGGCCACGCAGTGAGCGTTCTTCTTCTTCAACCATATCCCAAAACAAATCCAGGGGAGAAGATCCGGAGTTACCCAGGATACCGACGTACCGAGGATCCTCGTGGATCAAGGGGTAGATGTTCATCCACTTGCTTCCAGCCTTGATCTTACCCTGAGATCTCAGCTCCTTCAGAAGCTCGATAAACTGCTCGCGGGCATGACGCTCTTTTCTCGCCTTTGCAGCCTTTTGTTGCTGACGCGCATCATTGAAGGCCCGCTCAAGGGACTTGATATGGTTCTCGAATGCAGTCAAAATATCGGACTTGCTTAGAGTTCTAAACTTGTCGTCGCTTTGGACTTTGTCATTCGACTGAATAATCGCCTGTGCTTCAGACCAGCGTGTGTATGGTTCCAGGTTCAGAGACTTCAAGATAGTCACCAGCTCATCCATAGCAGCTTTACGCTTAACAGCTTCCTCCTCGATGTGCTCCTTCTTGAGCTCAACAATGTACTCCTCGAAGAGCTGGCGCCTCTCGTTTTCATCATCCGTAGATCTAAAGATGGTTTCGCCCTCGATGATCGGTCGGATGGTCTTCCAGCGACTGTAATGTTTAATCTCAGGATGGCGCTTCAGCATGGTATTGAAATCTGCTCTGAGCTTAGCGAATCTTTCTTTCGCCCGATCCTTTTCCTGCATGCGAACCTCGACCGCATATTTTTCAAAAGCTGCCTTGCGGTCTCTGGGGTCTTTGAGGGCACGATACTGAGGATCCTTGATAGTTTCACGCATGGTCTGTTCCCAGCTCCAATCGGGTTGCACGTTGTGGCGCTTCAGCATCTTCATGAACGCGTTCTCTGCCTCTTCGAGAGAGCCGTACTCGGGTTCGGCTTGCTGTGTACCTAGGATAGGAGCAGCGGCGATGCCGTTGGTATCCATCGAGCCATATCCTCCACGTCGGTCGCCATAGCCTCGATCATAGTCGTCGCGGTCACGCTGTTGAGGGTAAGAAGAAAACGAGCTAACACCACCTGCAACGAAAGTCGGGGCCCTATGCATGAACACGTTAGTCTCATAAGCGCATTGAGAGGCAAATTTGGGTATGAAACTTACGCCACTGGAGGAGCCTGAGGCGCTGGAGCCTGTGCCAGAGCAGTTTTGTAAACATCTGGCATCTCCCAGGTGCTTTGCTTGGTTTCGGTGTTGTACCAGTATTTCCGACCACCCTCAGCAGTATATTCCTTCCACGGCTGATTTGCCAAGGCACGCTATATGAAAATTTAAAATAAATTAGAATCCAGGACAGAAACATACGGCAATGTCATTTAAAAAGGGCAGGGGGACACATACCTCAACCGGCGTCATCAGCTCGATGGGCTTCGACCACTGCGTCGCCTTCGTCTGCACATTGTAGTAGTAAACTCGACCATCAGAGTTACGCGCCTCCTGCCACAGGGAGGGCGCGCCAGCCGGACCATTCATGGGATTCATATCGAAGTTGCAGAAGCTGCCGGGGACAGATACTGCTGTTGCGACGATAAGAGAAGGTCGGGAAAAAGCAGCGTTCGAAGAAGCTCGCCGGGGTTCCTGCGCTAAGGTTGTTTGTCGTGTTTGCACCGTCCCGGGGTATCGAACACCTCCACCCGGCGCGCCTGGGTCCCTGGCTGCTCTTAAATTAAATGCGCATCGAGGGGATTTCCGCCTGTTGCCTTCTTTTGACCTTCCTGGTGTCGGTTGCCTGTGCGCGTGCTATCCTCTTACCCCGTTACGAGAAGAAGAGCATGCGGCTGCTGTTCTCGCCATGCCGACTCTCGACATCCCCGGGGAATTCCTCAGACATGCTGTTCTAGATACAGTTGTCCCGCATGCTTCAGATGCCGACCTAGAAGCAGCTCTGACGTCTGCTTTAGAAAAAGGCGCAGATGATCTCACTTCTGTGCTTTCGCTAATACCGCAACGCTCTCTTCTGTTCTTCGGTATGCTACGACCTGCTGGCCTGATCGAGCTCTATCTCTTACTCATATGTAGCGTGATACAGATGAGTTCTGCACCGTTCGCGTTGTCCTACGACTATCCAATTGCTCCCCACCTAGCTTGAAACAGTATCTTCCGCACCTCGAAGTCCGACTCGATGCCTTTGCCATTGATCCCGCCGAGACAGTTGCGGAGAACCCGACCCCGACTCGGGACCTCATATTCTCAGGGGTGGTAGATTCACAGGAGCCATTGGTGGTGGTCAATGAGTTTGAGGGAGACACCGGTGGGGGCAACCACGTATATGTGATCTGGAGTGTCAAGGCATTCTTGAGTAAGGTCCACGTTCATGTTCCGGCATCCTATCGTGCTGATAAACCTCAGAGCGCCCTCGCATACGCATTCAACACCCTTCCCTCCTCTTCATCGCCTCCGCTAGCCTCAACCCAGCTGAAACCCGACAGCAAGAGTCTCGGGGAGACGACTACCTCCCGCCTTTGATACCGGCCTCTACAAATATCTTACAGCCGCTGTCGAGTGACAAATCTTTGGATCAAAAAGATCCATTCCTCCCCGCATCTAGGCTTCTACGAGTTGTACCGGCCAAATACAGTGAAGACCCCATATATAACGTCCAGCAGCATTCCGGCCATCCCATACGCATAGTTCCTGCCGCCAGTGCAAGGATACGTTATTCTAGGCTGAATGCCTATAGTGGACGGCCTACTACCGTTGCAAGCCTCGATTTTGAGGTGACACCATTCCTCAATTGCGATGTCACATTTGACAAGGCAGAGCTTAGCATGTCGGATGGGACGATAGAAACCCTCACAGATGCACCGGGGCTGCTCCCGCCCATCCGCTGCCAGCCGCGAGATGATATTACCCTTGTATACAAGTTAACGCCCGATTATGCACCTGACCCAAATCCATCAACAACTGTGATGGTCAGTGTTCTGGATATCTCGCTAGAAGCAATCATCCACCTGTCGGACAATTGTAACCCGCGGATCTTGATGCAATGGAGAACCAACGTTGATTTCTCCATGGTCCTCAACCCAACTTTTGGGGGTCCTAGCCAAGCTCTACAACGGAACAACCGCCCTGCAAGTCTTCCGATGACACCCAACCAAAGCAACGCCGCAGCGGGGACCGCCACGCCTAATCGAAGCTCCCTGAGGGAGCGGGCATACTCAACCGCAGGCCTTGGTGTATCGGTTTCGTTCAGTGGCCCTCCACATGTCGAAGTAGGAAAGCCCTTTGCTTGGAGTATCTTCATCGTGAACCGATCCTCCGGTTCTCGCAAATTTTCGATAGTTGCTATCCCTCGCCGGAAGAAGTTGGACCCACGGGGACATACTGTGCGACCATCTTCTTCATCTGCGACGAGCCGCAAAGTTGCTCAGGTCGCGGAAGCCGTAACGGATGACAACATCGTTCATGCACTCCAGAAGAGTGTAGTTGGCCAGGAAGCAGAACTCATTTCTCTGAGTACTGACGTTCGGGCTGGGTGAGTAGCTTCACATCTTCCTTTCCTTTTACCCTAGCTGATCATATCATAGTCCCCTTTTGCCTGGCACCTGTTTTTCTACGGAATTGAAATTGCTTCCCTTGGCGGTGGGAGCGCTTCGTCTGGAAGCTGTACGCCTGGTGGATGTAAATACGAATGAGATGATTGATATTAAGGATCTCCCGGACATCCATTCCTTTGACAGGAAAGGTAAGCCGACCGAGGTGGTCAGTTGAGAAGAGGTCTGGATTATCCTTGTGATAGATAGCTTAAATGCTGGCTAGCTACGATGCATGTTAATGGACTTGGCTATCTTTACGATTTAAGGGGTGATAGCATGTTTAGCGGGTGGAATAGATATTCGTCAAGTCTGATGATGAGTTGCATGTATATCATATCAATAGAGCATTTAATTGTACTTATCAAGCGCTGGATCTCCCCAGACGGTACTAGTAGTCATTATAAGATTTCCCTGAGTAAAAAGGAGGAGAAGGGGGGCTATAAAAGCGGCAATGCAGACCCTCCGCCCCAAAAAGCGGCGGGCGGGCGGAGATGGGCGGGTGATCACGCGAGCGGATTGGTTCAAGGGGCGGGGGAGAAGTTCGAACCCCCGGCAAGATGACATGACCTCGATCTTGCATCTTCGCTGCCTCAAGAATACTACCGTTCCTCTTGTTCGTTCTATTTAACGGGGGCTTGAATCGCTGGTCGACCTAAACCCAAATCTAACCTGCTTCTTCTTTTCTTCTTTTGTACACAGTACCCAGTACGCCCGTCTCATCGACACCTAACGAGACGATCACTGACGCCCGGGTTTCCAGGAGTCGTCGGGAGGCTTGCTTAGTATTCGCCTGCTCGCCCTTGTTTCGCCTGTGCGTGCTTTCTGGCAGTCCTTTGCGTCATACTCGCCCCGAGCCCGCCAACCGGGATTTCCAGGCCGTTCGCCTTCGATCCCCTTCCATCTTGCCAATCACTTATCGTCTATCATCGCCCTTCGTCATGTTCTCCACTGGTCGTCGAAGAATACTCGATGGACTCAATCGGAGGTACATCTACGGCCGTCTGGTATGTGAAACTTTTGGTCTCAATTCCATCCTATCTCACCCAAGGGGGGCTTTTTACATTTTTGTCGTAAAAGCAATATTGTCTTACAAATAAATCTTGTCCTATGAGGGAACTCATCACTAATTTTACTCCTTCCATATTTCTCCTTTTTAGCCATTGCTTCACGCCATAATCTTTCTCATCGAAATGGCAGCTGCAATGCGACTTGCCGCTAAGTTCAACTCTTACTATGCGGAGAAACCAGGTAAGGCTGTCATGTTGCTCCCTTGCTAAGGCGCCTTCAGGAGTTGACTGACTTTGTGTCGTCTTTAGTCTTAACCACCATGGTTACCAATGCGGTAAGAGCTCCTTCGAACGAATCATTTGTCGTTGGCATATGATCGACTGACGTTGGACGGCATGTTAGATTCTTGGTGGGATCGCAGACACGGTCGCACAGTTGATCACGGCTTTCAAAGCGCGTGGAGGACGCCGACCCTCTGATGGTAACGATCTCATCTCGATTGAGATCCATGACCTCGATAAAGAGAAGCCGCCTGCTCTTGGAGAGCTGGGACATGCTAGACATTTGGCGCCGGCCTTCGACTTTGAGCGCCTGACTCGCTTCATGTCATACGGTTTCTTCATGGCCCCAGTTCAGTTCCATTGGTTCGGTTTCTTGTCCAGGACGTTCCCCCTTACCAAGAGAAACCCGTCGATTCCCGCTCTCAAGAGAGTGTGCGTGGATCAGCTGATGTTCGCTCCTTTCGGTACGAAGCGTCTCCAGAGGAAGAAGAACGCGCTTTCTGTTTGCTAATGACATCACCAGGTCTGGCGTGCTTCTTTTCCTTCATGACGGTCGCCGAGGGAGGAGGAAGGAGAGCATTGACTCGCAAGTTCCAGGACGTTTATCTGCCAACCCTCAAGGCCAACTTTGTCCTGTGGCCCGCTGTTCAGATCCTGAACTTCCGTGTCGTACCTATCCAGTTCCAGATTGTGAGTTCCATTGTGACAGATGTCGTGTGCGCTGTGATACTGATACATATTGATTCAGCCCTTTGTGTCCTCCGTCGGTATCGCCTGGACTGCGTATCTGTCGTTGACCAACTCTTCGGAGGACGAGTAAGGGTAGAAGCGGGCTCATATTTTGGCTCCCACAAGGTTCTCAATCGTTTCTTCCCTCATTTGTCTGTCATTATTTCTTCCCCTGCGTTGTTTTGTGCTTACTGGGCGCTGTAAATGAGCTTTGGGGGTTTCTGTTATTCTTCCTCTCATGGGTGGTGTATAGGTCATCTTCGTCCAGCAACGTGGGTACACCGGAGTCAATTGCATTGATCGATAAACCATGTCGACAAAAGGAATACACCAGTGTTATTTTTCGGGATTGAACCAGGCACGAGCTCCAATATCTCCTGTAGGCGGGGTGATCCCCACGAGAGCGAGCCGGCTTCCATAGACGAGAAATATCGGAACGATTGCTTGATAGATCCACCCCCGGACGCAGCAGAACCTCCCATCGCAGCCATGATCCGAGGCTAAGGGGCTCCGAACGGGGCATAACAGGCATAATGTTCACCCCTGAGGCCCCGGACCCTTCCGTCATCGATTCACGGTCGCTGACATCAGTCCCGCATCAGCCCGAGGCGCCCGCGATTCTTCTTCTCTCACCGGCTGCCCCACCACCAGCCCATAACCACCACTTTTACCCCGCCGCCGAACCGAATGAAGTCGTAGCTTCCAGTGCCTAGAGTGACCAGACTCGCTCACCGCGGACCTATTAAGTAGGCATTTTTCTTAATCCCCTCGTACCCCGTGGTGCTACTAATACTACGCTGTCCCCCCCTCCCCCAAATTTCCCCTTCCCTTCCTTTTGTCACCCCACCCCTCTCTCTCCCATTCTCTGACCCCATCCGACTGTCGTAGAACCGTCGTTCACCATGTCTCTCACCAACAAGCTTGCTATCACCGATGTCGACCTCAAGGACAAGCGTGTCCTGATCCGGGTATGTTGTTGTTGCCCCGGAAACCCCCACCTTTTCATCAATCATCATCGTGGGGTCGTGGTAGTGCTTCAATGCTAATCAGTCGATTCAATGGACAGGTCGACTTCAACGTCCCCCTCAATGACAAGAAGGAGATCACCAACAACCAGCGTATCGTCGGTGCCCTGCCCACCATCAAGTACGCCATCGACAATGGTGCTAAGGCTGTTGTCCTCATGTCCCACCTGGGCCGCCCCGACGGCAAGAAGAACGACAAGTACAGCCTGAAGCCCGTTGTTGCCGAGCTCGAGAAGCTGCTTGGCCGCAGCGTTGTCTTCACCGAGGACTGCGTTGGCCCCGAGGCTGAGGAGGCCGTCAACAAGGCCACTGGTGGCCAGATTGTTCTCCTTGAGAACCTGCGTTTCCACGCCGAGGAGGAGGGCAGCTCCAAGGATGCCGAGGGCAAGAAGGTCAAGGCCGATAAGGAGAAGGTCGCTGAGTTCCGTAAGGGCCTGACTGCTCTTGGTGACGTCTACATCAGTAAGCAATCCTTTTCTCGCCTTCCCCTCTCGGGAGGCCAGTAGTTCATGAGCTCTGTACTAACTCCACATCACAGACGACGCTTTCGGCACTGCCCACCGAGCCCACTCTTCCATGGTCGGTGTTGACCTTCCTCAGAAGGCTTCCGGTTTCCTCGTCAAGAAGGAGCTCGAGTACTTCGCCAAGGCTCTCGAGAGCCCCCAGCGCCCCTTCCTTGCCATCCTGGGTGGTGCCAAGGTCTCCGACAAGATCCAGCTGATTGACAACCTGCTCCCCAAGGTCAACAGCCTGATCATCACCGGTGCCATGGCCTTCACTTTCAAGAAGACCCTGGAGGGTGTCAAGATCGGAAACAGTCTCTTCGACGAGGCTGGCAGCAAGATCGTCGGCGAGGTCGTCGAGAAGGCCAAGAAGCACGACGTCAAGATCGTTCTCCCCGTTGACTACGTCACTGCCGACAAGTTCGCTGCTGATGCCAAGACTGGCACTGCCACCGATGCTGAGGGTATTCCCGACGGCTACATGGGTCTGGACGTTGGCGAGAAGAGTGTTGAGCTCTACAAGCAGACCATTGCCGAGGCCAAGACCATCCTCTGGAACGGTCCCCCCGGTGTCTTCGAGCTGGAGCCCTTCGCCAACGGCACCAAGAAGACCCTCGATGCCGTTGTCTCCGCTGCTCAGTCCGGCTCTATCGTCATCATCGGAGGTGGTGACACTGCCACCGTCGCCGCCAAGTACGGCGTCGAGGACAAGCTCAGCCACGTCTCCACCGGTGGTGGTGCCTCTCTGGAGCTCCTTGAGGGCAAGGAGCTGCCCGGTGTTGCTGCCCTGTCGAGTAAGTAAATTTGAACAAGACATATTACCACACTGGATATGCGGAGATGATGCTGCATGACAAAAATCCGTCCCATGTTTCTTTGGAGGAGGATGATGAGCTGTGGTTGAGCTTCCATGCTCTGGACTAGTTGGACAGGCGGGCTTGTTGTAGTACCCTACCTGTCAGCCTTCCCGGCGCCCCCTCAAGACAGGGGACCACTTTACGAATGTAATGTACAAAGAATGATAATTAATCTCAACAAAATACGCGTTTTGCCTATATCATATTCAAGAGAGGTTCTGATGATGCAATCTCTGACTAGTGACGGGTCCGAAGCTGTGAGCGGGGATTCAAGTGAAGTCGCAATGAGGAGGCCTCAAAGAAGTTGATAGTCGGTGGGTTCGATTCGATTCATCCAGTAATGGATGTGTGTAAATAAAATCGTAGAAAGTACATAAACGTGCTTATGCACCACATACACCGCTTCCAGCAAAGTTGCAGCAAGCAAGCAAACCTGCTACCAGACCTCCCACCATAGACGACCTAGACCTAGTCTGCAGACAAATCCTTCCACGACCGCGCATCAGGGCTAGCTAGCCACTGGACCGGCACCGCCAAAGCAGACCACAAGACGAATCTCTTTACTCAAATAAGTTCTATCGACAATTGTCTCATCGATCCACTACCGATACCGAGTTGCGTGAGGGTAAAAGATGCACGTGTAATCAAGTTGATTAATGCCTTCGTGAAATTTGCGCGTGTGTGTGTGTGTATGTGTGTGTGTTCATCTCAATTAAAACCGACAACCCGTCCGTCATCTAACATAAATTCTATTAATTAGATGCCCCGACCTTCTTCAGTTCCTCTCTGTAAATTGAAAAAGAGAACCATGTTAGTCCATCATCTGAGCTTTATATGGGGTCTGAATTAGATGGGGGAGATATTGCGCTCATGGAAATTGACCGATGAGGGTTGGTTTGGTTTGATTTGGTTTGACTTGGTTTGAAGGGAAAACGTACTTCAGTTGCTTGGAGAAGTCCTCGGCCGCATCGTCATCATCCCAGCTCTCCTCCCACAGGTGAGCGCTTGCGCCGTTGGCAGCAGATCCTTGTTCGGTTTCCTCCTGAGGCCAGTCTGCAAGTAAATAATAAAAGCTCCGAGGTTAGCGCAATCCGTCATCCGTAAGATTCATTTTGCCGGCTGTCTGTCTGGGATGGAAGCGGAGCTAGCTCCCTCTTCTGCATGACGGGGAAAAACCAGCGGTCTGGTTCATGGCTAACCTTCAACGGGAAAGTCCTCGAACTCGTCGTCTTCTTCCAGCACGGGGGGCTTCTGTTGCTGTGGCTGTTGGGTAGGCTCGGCCTTGGTGTCCTGGGTCGCGGTGGGATTCGACATGATGGGTGGGTGTGGGAGGGGGGAGGGCAGCGGACAGGTGGCTTTAGGGAGGTGAAAGGAGGGGTCGTACGAAGGAATCAAAGAAGGAGTGGGGGAGGAGAGGAGGTGAGGAATGAGAGATGACAGATCAGAAGATCGAAAGTGGCGGTGGTGGGTGGTGTTGGTTGTTGGCAAGCAAGGTAAATGGAATGAGAGAGAGAGTCGCGGCGGCGACGGAGGCGGAGACGCAGGCGATGGCGTCGGTTCAACTTTGGCTGGGCGGCGGCACTATTAGACTAGTCCGCAGTCGGTCAAATCGACCTGACGACGTCAAGCTTTATTGTTGTTCCCCTTCAGTTCCCCTCCAGTCTTGCCGGACATACCGGACATGACCCCAGCTCCCATTCTGTCCAACAGTTCCTTCCTCCCTCCCTCCCATTCGTGAGACATTTAAAAACGATCCCCTCTTCCCGATGCGCTAAATCACTGGTTCGTGATCTCTGAGAGCCTTGTTCGTGAGCAACTCCCGGCAATTTCCAGTCAGTTGCTCCGCCTTGCCGCCGCAAAGTGGACCGTGGGTTCGACGCTATTATTGTTTCTGGTCCCCGTTGCTTATAATCCCCAGGCCATCCGGCCTAGCCCTTGGGTCGGAGTCGCCTCTTTTTTTTTTTTCTACTTCCGTACAATTTGTTCGCTTTTGGACTATTGTTATTGATTCTCTTGCATATCCCCCAACCTCTCTCTTTTTCTTGGGTTATGGTCCTGGAGTCTTGCTACGTCCTTGGTGCGTATCGAATGGGAGATTCGATCATCTTCCTATTCCATCTACGTCTGCTTCGGGGCCCTTCGGTTCTTGGTTAATTGATCGCCATACGTCTCGTGCACAACTTCCTTTCTAGAATTATTCTATACTTGCAGGCCTGGTTTTCACCGGGCTCCCTTCTTTTCGAATATGTTTCGCGTAGGCTCCTGGCTATATGGCAAGAAGCCGGCCTCCACTCAGTCCCTGGACTCTTTGTCCGAACTGCGAGATCGTGAGTGAGCACAGAGGTCTTCTCAGCCCCGGCTAAGATGCGAATATTGCTGACAATCGATTATTTGGGACTTAAAGTTGAGGATGCTATGAGGGGTATGTCCAATTTTCCATGCGTGATCGAATCCCCGCTCTTCCGGGGTCAGTGCTAAAGGCGCTCTGCTGACTGAATGGTTGGGCAACCAGCTGCCACGTTAATCCTCAATGACGATGTGGACGGCGCCGAAGACGGTCTTTCCGAGGGAACCTCGTCGTTTCATAATGTGCGTATGCCTTTGGTTTGGACAAGTACCTGCCGATCTTCAAAGTCACTAGCTCTGTAGTGCCTCTGCTGATCTACAACTCGTGCCTGGTATATAGCTTGGCAGAGGTGTCGTTGCGTTCATCCGGGCCACACTGGGTTTTGAACAGGAGATCATGCGTCAGGGTGTGTAACCAGTGTGACCACTGTCCTGTTAGAGGTGTCCTTGATGACTGATGTTCTATAGCCTCGGAGCGACTCAATGCCGCGGAGACGAGTGCCGCCAACGACCAGCATCGCGCGCAACACAACTCTCATGCGCCCAATACGTACCACTCACAAATATATGCTCCTGGGACGGAATTTGCGCTCTGCCAGGCCATGGCGCAGCTCATGAGTGCCGTCGTCGGCGTCCTGAATGAAAGTCTCACGGAAAGTATCAAAGGATTCTATAAGCTCAGAAAGGCCTATATCACCCTAGACGCTATTCTTAAGATGGAGCAAAAGTTCATCATGCAGGCGCGGAACTCCGGGGATACTACCTCTACGGAGAGTCTGCCACGGGGTGTTGGGCAGGGAGCGGCGCCCACGTCCGTTCCTGCATCTCCGGTAGAGCCCGACGACCTGAAGAAGGGGTTTTCAGACCTTTCAATCTCCGCGGACTCCGAAACATCGGCATCGGGTCCTTCTGATATGCTGAGCCATGATCCTGATTCGGACATTTTCAAGAACCAGATCGACGTGTTCGTCCACTCCGGCGCCAACTTCTGCTTCGGAATTCTCTTGCTTCTGATTTCCATGGTCCCGCCCGCGTTCAGTAAGCTTTTGGGAATCATTGGCTTCCACGGAGACAAGGAACGCGGATTGAGGATGCTTTGGCAAGCCAGTAAATTTCACAACCTGATTGGTGCCCTCGCCGCTTTCTCCATTCTTGGATATTCGAACGGCTTCGTCCGGTACTGCGATATCATGCCCGATCCCGTCCCTGGCGATGACGTGCAGGGCTATCCCCAGGAACGGCTAGAGGCCTTGCTGGCCCTGATGCGGAAGCGCTTTCCGAAGAGTCAACTGTGGCTGCTGGAAGAGTCGCGGATGAACGGAGCAAACAAGAAATTAGATGTTGCCTTGGAATTGCTCTGTGGAGAAGACCGCAGTCCGCTCAAGCAGGTCGAGGCGCTGCGAGTTTTCGAACGGAGTCTGAACGCCATGTATCTTCACAGATACGAGCTTTGTGCTGAGTCTTTCCTCGAGGTATGCTGTCCTGATTGACGTATAGAAGATCTTAATCAAACTGACCATTACAGTGCGTCGAACTCAACTCTTGGTCTCGATCACTCTATTACTACATTGCGGGATCGGCCCATCTCAGCCTATACCGAAACGTTGCTGGAACGGATGCTACTGCGGCAGCTAAACAGGCTGAAAAGGCCGTGGAGTACTTCCGGAAAGCGCCGCCATTGGCTGGCAAGAAGAAGTTCATGGCTCGACAGCTGCCTTTTGACGTCTTTGTTTCTCGCAAGATCGCCAAGTGGGAGGCCCGCGCCAAAGAGTGGAAGGTGCCCTTGGTGGATGCCGTGGGAGTGGATCCGATTGAAGAGATGATTTTCTTCTGGAACGGACACAGTCGTATGACGCAGGGACAACTGGAAGAATCCATGACGAAGCTGGCGTGGTCCGAAAGCGATGCCAATAAGACATGGTCACGCGAAGGTACGGAAGAGAAGGCTATCTTGCAGCTCCTGCGCGCGGCCGTCTTCCGTGCCATGCGCCGGCACGATGAGGCGAAAGAGATCATTCGCACGAGCATCTTCAGCCAGGACAAGTCCCAATTTACTGGACATCTCAAGGATGACTGGATCTACCCGGTGGCACACTTCGAGATGGCGGCTAATCTGTGGATGGAACGGCCGACGTACAGTGCTCTTCACGGAGGACCGGAGTCATTTAGCGAGAAACTAGCTGCAGGAAGCACCGAGAACGATACACAGCTGGAGCGTCGCCAAGTGCACGAATGTAAGGAGCACCTAGAGAAGGCGGCCAAGTGGGAGAGCTATGAACTAGACGCGCGCGTTGGGCTCAAAGTGACGGCCGCACTGGAGGCCGTTGAGAAATGGGAGAGTGCGCACGCGACAACATCCGGATGAGGATGGATGATTGATGTATTATGACGCTGTACATTTACCGCCAGCATTGGAACATTACGATAAGACAAGACATTAAAGGGATAGACGGAGCAATCAATGCATGTTTGTTGTTTTTTTACAAGGGTACCCTGACCACGTAGGAGCGACAATTATAGATACACACGACCCGCCCGTATCTCTCACCCCGTCTAGACCATAGTAGACCTTTCTTGAACTCTTTGACCGACAGTTAGACTTTCTAGCGGTGGCGACGATCACCGTGGGTCGGATAAGTTTCCGGCCCTGTCACCTATCTGCCCCATCGGATGCATCCGTCCCTGACAAGCGCTCTCTTCTTGGCCGGGTATAATTGCCCTGTCAGGCTGGGATACGTGCAGGATGTGACTCATGGTGCGTATAGGGCGATTGAAAAGGACCTGATCTATCCAGGAAATTGACGTCGATCCGGCAGACTGTTCTACCGAAATGGCCGAATCAGCGTGCGGCAAATGCAAAGAAGCAATGTTGGAGGGTCCCGTTATCGGACGTCCGATGCTTATGACGCTGCTCCCCGGGTAAAACGGCTTCGGGCTTCGGTTCCACGCCAGTGAGAAAATGTGCCTTAAAGATACTGGCATATCCTGCCTGCCCTGACTGAGAAGATTGGGATCCTTGCCTCCACTTGTTGAATCATTCATTTTGTCTCAGGTACTTGCTCAAACCGTGTGGCGGTTGAAACTAATCTCAAATAATCCTGTTGCATGTTCGGCAATTATCTTATCCCACCTTTACTTTTCGGAGATTCGGAGATTTTTTTTACATCATTTTTATCGGGGACATTTTTTCTTATTTTATTAATTCCGTCCCTCTGATATCATTTTCTCCCCTCGCATATGCATAGTGACTCGAAGGATTCTATTTACCATTTATCAGCTCGGAATTAAATCAATTGATTGAATAAAAATAGTACTGCTTGTTGCTCTTCAAGATGTCGCGACACGAGCACTCCCGCTCATCGCTCTCATCCGAAGATGTCGAGTCCTCCGAAGACCACCACAGCGCATACGTGCACCCGGACGACCCGACTGCATTGGAGAAGCAAACCACTGCGGCATCGGGCATGTCGGCGCTCGAGAACCGTGCGCATTCGGTGATTTCGCGCATTCGCAGTCGCGAACCGGGGCAAACTGCCCGTTTCACGCATCCGCTGTCGCATACTAAGACCTCCGAGGACGTCATTGTTGACTTTGAAGGGCCGGATGATCCGTATAGGCCGATGAATTGGAGTTTTCGCAAGAAGGCGGTTACTACCATTTTGTATGGGTTGACTACTATGGGTATGTGCGGTTGCTGTTATACTTGTTCGAATCTCTTCAGGTGATGTGGTGCTGACAGTGGGTGCGTGCGATAGGTGCGACTTGGGCTAGTTCGATGTATGCTTGCTCCTCTACCGTTCCCGCAGATCTATATTCCAGGTACTGACAAAGCGCAGTTTCTCTACAGGCACCAAGCAAATCGATGCGGAGTTTGGCGTGGGAGAGGAAGTCGGGACATTGGGTACAACGCTGCTGCTGTTCGGTTTCGGTAGGTCTCCATCTATACCACCATTCGTTCTCTGCGCATAAACTGACCTAGTCAGGACTCGGTCCCCTCGTATGGGCACCTCTATCCGAAGTCTACGGACGCAAGCCCGCCGTACTCGCGCCATACTTCATCGCAGCTATCTTCTCCTTCGGCACCGCCACAGCCAAAGACCTCCAAACCGTCATGCTGACCCGATTCTTCTGCGGCTTCTTCGGCTCCGCGCCCGTCACCAACACCGGCGGAGTCCTCAGCGACATCTGGACCGCGGAGCAGCGCGGCGCCGCCATTGTTGGCTACGCCATGGCAGTCGTCGGCGGACCAGTACTAGGTCCGATCGTCGGCGGAGCCATCTGCCAAAGCTACCTCGGCTGGCGATGGACGGAATACATCACAGGAATTATGATGATGTTCTTCCTAGCAATGGACCTGATCTTCCTGGACGAAAGCTACCCGGCCGTTCTCCTCGTCTACAAAGCGCAACGCCTCCGCTTCGAAACCGGCAACTGGGCCCTGCACGCCCGCCACGAAGAATGGGACGTCACCTTCAAAGAACTCGGTAACAAGTACCTCATCCGGCCCTTCGCCCTCCTCACAACCCCGATCTGCTTCCTCGTCGCCATATACGCCTCCTTCGTCTACGGCATCCTCTACCTCAGTCTGGCCTCCTTCCCCATCGAATTCCAAGAAGTCCGCGGCTGGAACCAGGTCGTCGGCGCCCTGCCTTTCCTCGCTTACCTCGTCGGCATTCTCTTCGGCGCTTGCATCAACCTCTTCAACCAGAAATTCTACATCGCCCGCTTCAAAGCAAACAATAACTTCCCCGTCCCCGAAGCCCGTTTACCGCCGATGATGCTCGGCTCGATCGTCTTCGCCGCTGGCCTCTTCATCTTCGCCTGGACTAGTGATCCCCATATCCATTGGATCGCTCCCATCATTGGCGCTGTCTGCATGGGCTTCGGGTTCTTTACCATCTTCCAAGCCGCCCTGAATTACCTCATCGATACCTTCCAGAAGGTTTCTGCCAGTGCTGTCGCCGCGAACACATTCTTGAGAAGTTTGTTCGCGGGCTGTTTCCCCCTCTTCGCTAATATCATGTTTCATCGTCTGGGCGTAAATTGGGCGGCCAGTGTGTTGGGTTTCGTGGCTGTTGCGTTGATTCCCATTCCTTATTTGTTTTATATCTATGGGAAGCGCATTAGGGCTAGGGGGAAGTGGTCCCGCGCTTCGGTTTACGGGTATTGATTTTATTCTCCTTTGCTCGCTTCCTTATACCCTTTGCGTTTCATATACCCCACGTTCTATTCTGGGCTTGTCTTTTCATGACTTGATGTGAAGACGAGCTGGGCTAAAAGTTTTTGTCTACTGGGATTTATTTGTTGGTTGTCAGATTGTTGTTGTTTGAGATACCTCTGGTCTTTTTTTTGTTGGTTTTGGCATGATACGCATAGCATGGCGGGGGGTATTGATAGATAGGAACTACTAGTACGTAATATCAATGATTAATGTCTAGGCTTAGTTGAATAGTTTGATTAAGATATAGTTATCGTTTCTGCCTCCACACAGCATATAATGTAGTCCACTCAGATCTGCCGCGGTTGTATGGATTCCCGTAATGTTATAAAAGATAGTGACGGTAATACCATTACAACGCCGAAGAGTGGAACCCGCATCCAGCATTTACTACAATGATGGCTGGGAATGTCCAACTTCACCTCTTTCCATCAACTATACCGCCACACCATGCACCCCATCCAGAAACAACCAAGCAGGGCAGCATGTCTCGCTTGGTGAGCTCTTATTGTCCCATTCTTATTGTCATACTAACCTATTTGCTAGTCGCGCGCGCAAGATCCGATGCGATGGCCGCCACCCATGTAGCAGAGTAAGGCTCTTCTCAAGAATCCTACGATGCATTTCATGGAAGATATGTAACTTTAAAACAGTGCTCTCATAAAGGATTGAGTTGTGTCTATCGTCCAAGCCGTCGCGGCGGATTCCGGCATCGTGCAGAGTCATCCACCCACCACAATATCGCTCTGCATCATTCGCCTCACGATCCCAATGTATTTCCTTCGGTAGCTCAGCAGAGTCTACCAGCCCCTACACAGAGACCATCTATCTCTGGCGAGGTGGTTGGAGATTATGATCTGTCGGATATAGCTCATCTACTCAGTCCTTTTAGTGGGATCCGAAATCTAGATCTGGGCTCGATAGATGGGTCGGGTGAGGTGCTGGTGCCAGATGTTGAGGGTAATGTGTATGGGACTATAGGTTCTGCTCAGTCTTCACATTTGCGCGTATATGCGTCTGAGGAAGAGATGTTGGTTTCCAATACCGCGAATGTGACGTCTTGATTGACTGACGTTCGTAGATTCGACTCTTACTACATACATATTCACCCCTTCCTTCCGATTCTCCAACCCCCTCTGTCGGACCAAATCACTGATCGACCAGTAGTGGTTGAGGTTCCGAGCATTAACACCGGAAGTATTGATAGATCTTCACTGCCGCATTGGCCTGCCTCGGCACTCACATTGGCTATCTCTGCTGTCCTGGTTTTGATACCACTTCCTCAAGATTCAGATGCATTTAGCGATTCTAGTGTTCAGTCGAGACGTTCATATGCACAGATGTATGCAGAAGCAGCGTTCAGTGAAGTCGACAAAGAGATGGACCGTATATGTCAAGTTTTACTTCCGAGACAAGCAATGGCCTCCTTCAACCTTTCACAGTTGTCTCCTGTTCTAGCCCTTGTCCTGCTGAGCATATACGAGTACTGCCAGAGAGGAAATGTATCTCGAATGCGGAGTCGCGCTAATCAAGCTGTTACGGCCGCTATGGATCTTGGCTTGCATTGTTTAGGTATTACAGCAATGGAGGCACCACGCCGCGCCTGGTGGAGTGCGGTGAGTTATTTCAGCTTTCCGATGTTTAGGGTTTCTGACAAGTTTTGCAGATGTTTGTGCTTTATCTATCATCTGTTGACCAAAAAGTAGTGAGTCTCCTAGTATTAGGTAGCCTGAATGTCTCATCTATCTAACTGCTCTCAGTCACCCATCATCACACTCGATGATATCAGAATAACAACACCCTATCCTTCATTTAACACAACATTAGAGGTATTTGAGCTTCCATAGATGGGACTATTTTCCTAAGCAACTGTATTACTGACCCCTATCAGCCCTGGCCGCTGCTCCTACAGGCCGAAAAGACACTCATTACTGTCTGGCAAACTATGGACAATAATGAGGCCCATCCAGCGATGACCGCAGCGTCATCCAACATGTCTGAGAAAATCCAGCAATTAGACTCACATATATTCACTATGATGAGACGGTTGGAAGTCACGCCTTCCATCGAACAACTTCGGACAGGACCCGACGCACGTGCAGTACGGAATATGCTGCTGATTGCCCGACTCTTGATTCATCTGTATGAATATGACACGATAGACACTGCTGTCAACCCACTGACGGCTACTTCTAGAGCTCGCGTAAGACTTCATCGATACCGTGCATTCATGGACATACCCTTGTTCCTGAACAAGCATTGCAACATAGCCGCCATCCAGGACAAGGCAGAGCCAGCCCAACTACGTTCTCAACCGAGATTCGAGTCTTTCTTTCCATTTACTGAAGAACAGTCGTCGTCAATATGCCTCAAATCAGCACTTGCTATATCACGCGCCTTTGAAGATTTAGGCTCTCGCAGTTCTCGATATAAGCTATCAGCATCATCTCATATACTGCCATTTTTTGTCTGTGGCGCTATGCAGAGCTCTTACGTGTTGCTCATGACGTACTACAGACTTCGTGCAGCGCTGATCTCCGATCAAGTGTCGACTTATCGCCACCTTCTACATCAGCCCGAATCGGACACAGAAATACAAGACACCGAGAGGTTGCTGCGCGAACTTCGACAGGGCGTTGAGTCAATACTTGGTTCCATGGAATCGGCTAATATGTTCGAGGGAGTAAGCGGTATAGGGCAGGAGATACAGGCGGCATATCATGCTGCCTTTTCGGCGAATACTTGACGTACATTGCCGCGGCGAACCCTTGCTGTTTGATTGGGTAGCGAGGTGCGGTGATTGCCGGTCGGCGATGTAATAGTATCGGTATTTATATCAAAGACTGCGGTGGGGTCGCACGATACGCGTAATATACGTTCTATGCTAATAACTCTGTTCCATTTTACATGAGCAGAAGTGAACCAGATTTATGAAACTGCTTGAGATACACCCCGATGAAATGGATCAGGGAAGATGATTTCCTCGAGCAAAATCCAAGCAATCACAATGTTTCCCAACACTGTCGACAAGCACCCAGGCAATCCTATCCCGACCAACCTACATCAGCGAATGGGCGACCCCGTAAGCAGACGAAACAAAATTCCCTGCTGGCATCACAGCATTAACTAGTTTCTATATAGGCCCCCCTCGGCATGTGTGAGTTTGCCACGACACTACTCACGCTCTCCCTAGCGATGATGCGATTCCGGGGTGTATCTGTGCAAGACGTCTTTATAGGAAACTTCTGTTTTGTCGGCTGCATCGCATTGCTGATATCTGCTTAGTGGGAGCTTGTTCGCGGAAACACCTTTTCCTATACGGTGTTCAGTGCATTTGGTTAGCTCATTCAACATCACCTACAGCAGCAGACGCAGTGTGGGAACTAGTAGGCTGAAACAGGACTCTTCTACGGCGGATACGGTGCCATCCTGCTACCCAGTCTAGGTATTGCAGAAGCCTACGGTGGTAAAACATCCGAGTACTACAATGCCTTGGGGTTCTTTATATGGAGTAAGCCGTCTTAACCCATTCATGATAGCTGTACGAAACCAAAAATCTCAGTCTGGACCGTCTGCAATACGTTTTTCGTCATCGCCAGTCTCGCAATGTAGGTCTATCCTGGGTATCTCTCAAAGATAATGGCTCACCCGCGAGTAGCAACGTCGTGTACTTTGCAATATTCGTCGCCATCGAGATCTGCTTCGGGCTGACCGCAGCGGCCAACTTCATTCAGGCAGACGGAGACGAAGAGTTGAGCGTGAAGGTCATGCAAGTAGCGGGGGCATTTGGTTTTGTGGCCGGATGTCTGGGCTTTTATGCCGTCGCGCATGGGCTTTGTCAGGAGACTATGCGGGTGAGGGTTCCGATGGGGGGTACGTCGACGTTCTTTAAGAAGCTGTAAGCAGACATCATCAATGCAAGACAGTATGGTTAGCACCGTATATGAAGCAAACTACTGCTATAGAACTATGCACACGAACAATTACCATCAAGCCCTTAAATCACATACACACTTAAAAATACCAACCATCAAACTCAGATCAAGAAAGCAAAGCCCTACACCCCCTCACAAAATTCCCCTTTAAGTCCTCCAAATCCTCCAACCCACAACTAACCCTCAAAAACCTCCTATCACACCCCTCATCACTCATCGCCCTCCACTCAATCAAACTCTCCACATCTCCAAGACTCGTAGCATGTTGAAAAACCACCATCTTCCCAGGCAACCGTCTAGCCCACTCCTCCTTCTTCACCCAGATCGCAAAACACAGCCCCAAACCCTCCACTCATCTGCCTCTTCAACCACCACCCATCCTCCTCCTCCTGCAACGAAGCATGCCTCACCCTCTCCACGACCCTACCAACAACCGACCCATCCCCCTCCCCAACCTCCCCAACCAACCACCTCACCAACCCCACCGCCGTCTCTGACTGCCTCCTAACCCTCAACTCCAACGTCCTCAAAGACCTAACCCCCAACCAGCCCTCCAAACTCCCCATCACAGCCCCCAAAACCAACCTCTCCGTCTTCATCCCCTCCACCCACCCCCTTTCCACCGCCCCAGGACCAAAAACCAACACCCCACCCAACAAATCCGAATGCCCCCCAATATACTTCGTCGCACTATGCATTACGCTATCCGCACCCAACGCAATCGGATCCTGCAAAGGCGGCGGCGCTAACGTCGCATCAACAGTCACCCACGCCCCCACGGACCTTGCGATCCCAGCATAGTATGCTATATTCCGCGCTTCGCCGGTGGGGTTCACGGGCGTTTCGACGTGGATGATATCACCTGCCTCAGGGCGTATATTGTGCTCCAGGTCCTCGAGAGAATGCTTTATCATCCCCGTAAGCTTACTCATTATGTCTATGACGGCGTGTACGCCGTGGTAGCCGTCGCCGATGAAGATGCGGCGGGGGTTTAGGTGTACGAGGATGGCGTGGAAGGCTGCTAGGGCGGTGGAGTAGGTGAGTACTGGGTGGGAGTTGAAGAGGCTGCGCAGGATGGTCTCGAAGCGTGCGGTGTTGGGCGTGGAGTAGCGGGCGTAGATGTGGGAGTCTTGTGGGGGGGTGGGCTATGTGTGTATTATGATAGGGTTAGTGGTTAGGTTGGGTTTGAAGAGGAGGAGGAGGAGGTGGTGGTGGTGAAAGGGTAGGGAGATACGTACGTCTGTGTTGTCGTTCGGGGTTAGGGAGTCGGAATCGCGTGTGTAGCGATATGTGACGGCGACGTGCATGGCTGGGGCGATGGCGCGGTGAGGGGTGAAGGTGTCGTCGGCGTGGATGGCTTGGGTGGTCATGGCCATTGTTGGGAGGGAGGAGGGGAAGGTTGGTGGTGGTGGTGGTGAGGACATTGTTGCTGGGATTTTAGAAGGGTGGGTATGGAATGTCTTTCAGTTCTGATGGATAGGGTTGTTGGTATTGATAGCTGCAGTCCTGATGAGAGTGCAGACCCTACCCTTTCTATATAGAAGGAAATTAGTATACTACATTTGAGTCGTGAGACTGGGGTTGTGTATAGAGCGGCGATAGAGATCCACTACCAACGCCGCTCTGATCTTATCTTTCACTCTCGCTTTCCTGTTCCTGAGTCGTTTGACTATTGGGACTTTTCTCTCTTTTTGTATATTTTATACTGCTACTTGCCATTAACATTACGTCTAGAAAGCGAGCTGCAGTGAGAGTATTGCATTCATCTGAACAGAAATAATTGAAGTGACGTTGGCTGTGCTGCTATAGTATAGTGCGGTGATTGAAGTGGGTCTTTCTTTCTGATACTGGCTTGACCAATAAGAGTGAGCCTAATTCACCGCAGCGCGGCATTTGCTCTTTTCATACAGCGGCGAACGCATATTGTAATCTTGTGACCGGGTATTGTGCGGCACATGGCATGTGTAGCAAAGGTGGCTCATTGCGTCGTGCAGTAGATAGCTCCATGCCTTTGTCGGTGAATATTTATGTGGTGTGATAAGGATGATGCCTAGTCCAAGGACATAGTTGTAGTAGAAAATGAAGGCTTCGACACAGTTTCTATTACATTCTCTACCCTCTAAGACTAGTTGGGCGATTTCGGGACTAGTATCATGATGATGAGCTATGGTCAAAACAAGTAGCTTAAATTATCATATGAGCTTTTATAACCAAAAATCTAGATCACCAACACAGATCTAACTTCCAAAGAACAGACAACTTCAACATCAGCATCGACAAACATGGAAACAAAAAGGAATGTAGTTTGACAAAATTATATGCAATACAAAAAGAATCAGAAATAGTACATGTTAGAAACCAAAAGAGTGCGTTTCAGTATTGATCCTCCACAATGAATGTAAACCTCACTTCTTGGCTGCCACAGCCCCCCATCTAGTAAATCTCTTAGCAAGCGTCATCGCCTTGCCCAGCGAACTCCAGCTGTTGCTCTTTGTCATAGTCATTCTCATGTCTTTGGTTGATTCTTCAGCCATGGTCGTTGCCATGCTGTTATTCAACTCCGGCTTGTGGTGCATTGTCATCACGGCCATCATTCCTAGGAACGTATGGTGCTCGAGAAGGTCCTCCAAGCGGACGCTGAAGCCTTCTTCTCCTAGGATCCAGACCAGTTGGGCGACATTCATGATGTCTCCGCCGAGATCAAAGAAAGATGCGTCGAGTTGGTATTGTGGGTTGTCAGTCCGACGGGGTAGCACCTGCTGCCAGGACCGGGTAAGGATATCTGAGTGAATTACAATCTCCGACATCTTCTGACTGTTTAGGTTGGACGAGAGGAAGGGTGAATCAGACGCTCTGGGTGCTTCACGAATGACCTGGCTCGGAAGGGAGCGGATGGTGGCAGGAGAGGCAAGTGGGACGCTGGGGTTGGCAATCAGGCTCTGTACAGTCTCGCAAACCATGTTCAGAGCTTTAGCAATGAAGGTTGCTGGGATAGGTCCTTTGAGCGAGTATCCGATTGAGACGTCGAGCTTCTCTTGGCCACAGGACTTGGAAGCCAGCGTGAGGTCGGTGAAGTTGTCCAGAACACCAACGCCTCCCATCCGGTACGAATTGCCGTCCAGTTGCATCTGTCCTTCATACTCGACGTTCTGATGGAATACGGAGGTGGTGAAGTATGTAGAGTCGGGCCAGTCGGTGCAGTTTCGGATAATCTCTCTGAATCCTAGCGACTCATAGGGCATGTTGGCAATCTGTTGGTCTTGAAGATAACGGAACAGGTCAAGGCCAGTCCAATGCTCCCTGAATTTCACCCTAATGGGAAGAATGTTGAGACAGGGCCCAACAGTGGTCTCAATACCAGGGACACTGGCATTACGGCCGTTGACAGTAAGCCCGAAGACCACGTCAGACTGGGCAGTCAGCTTCGCCAAAGTCACTGCCCATGCGGACTGCATAACGGTTGCGAGGGTGACGTTCCCTATAGCGGTGGAGGGTATCATGATGGCCTTCTTCTGCTCCGCGAATGCACCAATATGCATAAAGGTATTAGGCTGCGTGCGTCGAATGATATCCGTCATCTTAGAGCCCTTGAGGATCGTTGACCAGTGGTGATAGTGGGCCGGAGTGATGTTTCCAGGAAGCATCCGCATATAGTTCGAAAAGGAGAAGACTGGAGGTAGGGTGCTGCCCTCGTATCCCAGCTTGATTGCGTTCATGATTTTTGGCAGACAAACGCCGTCAAATTGAGCGTGTGACATTCTGATCAAGATGCGGTGCTGGTCGCTCTTCTTTTCCTTGACAATGTAGAACTGCACATACTGCTCTCCTTGGCGTGGATCTTGTTCGCGGTCCCGTTTTTGTAAGCTGTTGGTGTACTCGTCCAGACTCTGCTCCGTCTCATGCACGAAAATATCCGGTCGGATCTTTCTCAACACCACCTGGAAGAATTGCCCTCGGTGGCAGACAAAAACAGTCCGAAGAATGTCAAAAGCATCGACCACTCTTAAGAAGCTCTCTCGCAGACGCCGGAGGTCGAGAGGACCACTTCCATCCAGGAAGAAATAGTTTAGCATCCATCTGGATCCGAAGAGCGTTGCAGCGATCGACATGGACTGGAAGTCCGTTACAGGAAGAACATCAGCAATTCCTCCTTTGAAGACCCCTATCTTAGGGCAGATGACGTCAAGCAGAGACATTGCGTCGAGCTGCATTGGTCGTAGTACCGAGATATCCTGTGGTGGCGTAGCAGCTGGAAGAGCGTCATCGACCTCCAGGAGCTTTTCAATGTTGTTTGCGCATTGGGTATCGGCGTTCGAGGTCGGACTGCTGCTCGGAGTAATCGTAGCCAGCATGTCCTCGAAGACCGGGTTGTTGAACACATCCGCCACTGTCATTTGCAGGCCCTCTTCTCGTGCGGCGCTGACCATCTTCATTGCTGTAATACTATCACCGCCTAGCTTGAAGAAGCTACTCCGGTATTGGATAGTGTCTGAAGATAGCCCTAATGTCGTCTTCCACAAATCCCAAAGACGCCTATTATTGTCACTTGAGCTTCTGCCATCGTCTGTAAATGACGATGTCGAGTTTGCAAGATCCTTTTCGTCCAGAATGGGGTCCTCCTGGTATGAAGCCTCGACCATTTTGAGTTGAACAGAGCCGTTCGAGTATCTAGTCTTTTGATCAGGAAGGGGTATGGCGAGCTTGCCTTCCTTCAGCATCTGGCTAATAATCTCATTCACGCGGTCATCAATCAGCTTCTGCAAGACTTGGCTGTCAATTAACTGGTCCAGGATGATGGGCTCCTTGTGGGTGTGCCGCGAACGGTTTCGCGGTAGCTTGTTGAGGAGGTTCAAGCTCGAAACCAGCTTCGATGGTTCCTCGATGAAGCATGTAAAGACCTTAGTAACACCCTCCGCTAGCTCTTTCGCTTGTGCTTCGGTCACTGCGTTGCTCCAGTATCTCAGCAA